CCCCGCCCCAGAGGCCCCAGGCGTCCGGCCCCCCACTCTGTTGGGGGCCCAAGGCAAGCCCAGTCGCCCCCATGACCCCTGCCCCCTGGTGAACCCATTCCCTGCCCAGCTGCGACCCCCATGACCCGCCCCAGAGGCAGTTCATACTGCTGTTTAGCCCCCAGGGCGTGGGGAGACCCTGCCCGTGACCCCCGCGACCTCTGCCCCCAGATGCGGTTCATGCTGCTGTTCAGCCGGCAGGGGAAGCTGCGGCTGGCAGGGGGGGGGGGGGGGGCGCGGGGCGGCCGGGCTGCAGAAGTGGTGCGTGGCGGCCGGCGAGCGCGAGCGGCGCAAGATGGTGCGTGAGCTCATGCAGGTGGTGCTGGCACGCAAGCCCAAGATGTGCAGCTTCCTCGAGTGGCGCGACCTCAAGGTCGTCTACAAACGGTGAGCCCAGGGGCCGGGCGGCCAGGGGGCCCAGCCAGGCAGCGGGGCAACTCAGGTGTCGGGGAGCCATGGCCGGGGCAATGGGGAGCCAGGCAGCTTGGGCAGGGGGGCATCTGGGAGACCCTGCCAAGCAGGAGGGGACCCAGGTGCCCAGGAGACCTGGCGCAGGCAGGTGGGAACTCGGGGTCCTAGAGGCCCTGCCCCTAGCATGATCCAGACCCCCTCCAACCCAGCCTGGGGGGCGGGCAGCCTAGGCGTCCCGGAGACCCAGCACAGGCAGGGGGGACCCAGGAGTCTGGGAGCTGCAGCGGGGCCAGGGGGGACGCAGGCATCCTGGAGACCCAGCTCCGGGCAGGGGGGACCAGGCACCTGGCCACGCCACTGACCCGTGTCCACCCAGGTACGCCAGCCTGTACTTCTGTTGCGCCATCGAGGGGCCGGACAATGAGCTGCTGACGCTGGAGCTGATCCACCGCTACGTGGAGCTGCTGGACAAATACTTCGGCAGCGTGAGTCAGGCAGGGGTCAGGAGTCAGGGGGGTCAGGATGAGCTCGTGACCCCAGTGCGAACCCAGGTGTCCAGGGGGGTGGGGGGTGGGTTTAGTGGAGCTGATACCCCGCAGCTCATTAACTTGGCCTAGTTAATCCCTGGCTCAGCCTGTATCTAATTGGGATTAACGAGGCCTTGGGGCTGAGCCAGCTAATGCAGCCCAAGCTCTGCCCAGTCAATCCTCTGCAGGATGCCTTGGTTCTCTGGGGGGGGGCAGGGGCCAGACACCTGGGATCTCTAGGAGGGAAGTGGGGTGACAGCAGCGGGAGCTGGGCCCTGGACACCTGGGTTCTGTGGGAGGGAAGGGGGCTGAGAGGTTGGCAGCCCAGATGCCTGGGTCCCCACTGGCCTGACCCTGCCCCCCCCCGGCAGGTGTGCGAGTTGGACATTATCTTCAACTTTGAGAAGGCCTATTTCATCCTGGATGAGTTCCTCATGGGGGGCGAGATCCAGGACACCTCCAAGAAGAGTGTCCTCAAGGCCATAGAGCAGGCTGACCTGCTGCAGGAGGTGAGGCCCTGGCCAGGTCCTGCCACTGCCCTGCGACGTGTAGCTCCGCCCCCTCTGGCCAGGCCCCGCCCCGAAGTTTACCTACTGCAGGTGGTGAGACCCCCAGCGAGGCCTCGCCCCCTCTGGCCTGCTGCATGTGCAGCACCCCTCACCCCGGGCTGACCTGCTCCATTAGCTGAGTACCTCAGGCTGACTTGCTGTATGTGGTGACCCCCCACCCACTCCCCAAGTCAGGCCTGCTACCAGGCTCCGCCCCCTGACCCCCAGGCTGTACCTGCTGCAGGTGAGCCCCCCAGCCCACCTGTTGTAGGAGGTGAGACACCCCCCCCCGGCCTCCCCATTAGGTGCAGCCCAGGGATAGGCTGAGAGCAGGGCCCCCTGGCCCACCAATGCTTCCCTCCAGGCTCTCCCATTGCCCCTTCCCAGGGTGCAAGGGTTTGTTGGGGTCCATCCCCCCCAGTGTCCTGGCCATGTCGCAGTGCCGGGGGAGGGGAGCCCCCCCCGCATAGTGCGGGCTCCTGGCGGCTGGCGCAGGGCATGAGTCACCGGCTCTGCAGCACGATGCAGCCTGCTCTGCGGGGGCGACTGGCTGAGCTGCTCTCAAAGTTGGGGGGGGGAGGGCAGAGAGAATGCTGCTGCCTGACGGACCCCTCCTCCCAGCCCCACACCACCCCTCTGGCCTGGTTCTGTAGGGGTTAACGCCCCCATCCTGTCTCTCCTCACCCCATTGGGTTGGTGCTGAATAGGTTAATACCCCCCCTTTCTCCAGCTGAGTCTCCCCTCCATGCGGCAATACAGGGGTTTAGGCCTGGGGAGACCAGTGCCCCAAGGGTTAACACCTCACATGGGGGGGCTCCCCCAGGACCCAGTGCTGCGGGGAATCTGAAGGGTTAATCCCCCCCCCACACCCCCCCTTCCCAGCATGCATCACTGTTGGCTGGGTGGGGGACACTGGCAACCTCCTGCTTCCCTTTCGCAGGCTTCTTATGCGGGGAGGGGGCATGACATGTGCGTGGGGGGGATACACACAACTCTGGTGCACGTGCAGATACGTCTGCACATGCTAAAGCTGGGGGGGGGGCATGGCACACACATGTACACTGAGCCCGTGTTCCTCCCCCCCCCCCCCCCCAGGCGGAAGAACACACACCCAACGGCGGGGGG